GCCTCACATCTTTCCAATCCATCTTTTATATGCAAAGTGATTTTCTAAAACTTAAATCTGACTGTACTATTGCCATATTTAGAATTCTTCAACACACTGCCATCATTTCTTAACGTACAGTCTCTGTTCTACTTACATCAGAATTACTGATGGGGTACTTGTTAAAACTGTAGCCTTGGGGCTTCCCTGGTGGTGCAGTGGTTGAGAGTCCACCTACCGATACAGGCGACGTGGGTTCGTGCCCTGGTCCGGGAAGATCCCATATGCCACGGAGCGGCTGGGCCCATGAGCCATGGCCACTGAGCCTGCGCGTCTGGAGCCTGTGCTCCGCAACGGGAGAGGCCACAACAGTGAGAGGCCCGCGTACCGCAAACAAACAAAAAAAAGTAGCCTTTAAGGAAGTTCCTTGAAAACATCCCCAAATGTTTTGTCTTATATGGTGCTGTACCCCCAATATATAATATCGGTACACAATTGGAGCTCAATAAATATTTGTTGAATGAATTAAAGAATTAATGAACTGCACTCTGGACCTAAAGAATCAGAATCTAGGAGAAAGAATTCTATATTTTCATTAAGTCCCTTCAGTGATTTTTATCCATACTAAAGTCTGAGAAGCTCCAAATTCTGTAGAATGGCACAGTAAGGAAGGCCCTTCACAAGCTGCACTCTAGCTACTTCTCCAAATTTATCTTTTGCCACACTCCCCATTTGTTCCCTGTGCTTAGCCCCAGTGAAATACACTTTGATTCACCAAAAACAAGGTCTCTGAATCTGCTGAGCAACCCCTTTACCTGATGTGCCCCCTTCTACTTTGCTAGCTGTAACTCCAGCGGATTCTTCTTTTTAAAAAAAATAATTAATTAATTAATTTTGGGCTGCGTTGGGTCTTTGCTGCTGCACGTGGGCTTTCTCTAGTTGTGTTGAGTGGGGGCTACTCTTCATTGTGGTGCGTGGGCTTCTCATTGCGGTGGCTTCTCTTGTTGCGGAGCACGGGCTCTTAGGCGTGTGGGCTTCAGTAGCTGTGGCTCACGGGCTCAGCAGTTGTGGCTTGCGGGCTTAGTTGCTCCATGGCATGTGTGATCTTTCCGGATTACGGATCGAACCTGTGTCCCCTGCATTGGCAGGCAGATTCTTAACCACTGCACCACCAGGGAAGTCCCTCCAGTGGATTCTTAAGGAAGGCTTGCTGAACACCTCCATGATTCTCTCTCTCTATGCTCCCACAGAACCCTGCTCTATTATGGTACTCTAATACTATCACTGTACTACTTTTGGTTATTTCCATTTCTGCTTTCTGGACTACACTATGAGTTCCTCAAAGTCAAGAACTGTATCTTATTCCTGTGTATCACCAGAGCCCAATATAGAGAGAGTAGGCCCTCTAATTCAAATGTTTGTTGAATGAATGAAAAACCAAAGAGACCAAACATTAAAGTTTTTTTCCCCACCACTGAATGGCCAAGCTTCTTGAGCATGCAAGTTGATATCTCACCTAGTTTGCAAATCTGTCCAAATGTGCTACTGCTTCCACGAAGCCCTTTCCTAATTATTTCCAACTGCACAGACTATCTGCCAGTTTGATATATACAGCATTTTTCAGCTCTTATTGTTTTGTATTTTAATTATTTGTATGCTTGTTGCTGTGGTTTGAATGTTTGTGTCTCCCCTAAACTCACATGTTGAAATTCTAATGCCCTATGTGATGGTATTAGGAGGTGGGAGTCTTTGGGAGGCGCTTAGGGCATGATGGTGGGGCTCTCAAGAATGAGATTAGTGTTCTTTTTTTTTTTTTTTTTTTTTTTGCGGTACGCGGGCCTCTCACCATTGTGGCCTCTCCCGCTGCAGAGCAGAGGCTCCGGACGCGCAGGCTCAGCGGCCATGGCTCACGGGCCCAGCCGCTCTGCGGCATGTGGGATCCTCCCGGACCGGGGCAAGAACCCGTGTCCCCTGCATTGGCAGGTGGACTCTCAACCACTGCGCCACCAGGGAAGCCCAAGATTAATATTCTTATCAAAGGGCCTTCACAGAGATCCCTAGCCCCTTCTGCCACGTGAGACTACAAGAAGTCTGCAACCCCGAAGCGGACCTTCACCTAACCATGCTTGTACCCTGATCTTAGATTTCCAGACTCCAGAACTGGGAGAAATAAATTTCTGTTGTTTATAAGCCACCCAGTCTGTGGTATTTGTTATAGCAGCCTGAACAAACTAAGTCATTTGTTTTCATTCCTTTTAGACCATGAAGTCCATGAAGACAAGAGTGGTGTACTGTGGAAAGAGAATGTGCTTCGGGATCTAACACACCTGGGTTTGAGTTCTAGCTTCCCTGTTACTAACTCTGGGACCCTCAACAAGTTTTAAAATTCTTAGCACTCTGGTTCCCATATTTTGAATGGGGATAACAATAACTATCGTGTCATCATCCCCACTGAATAGAAGAGCTTAATACAGGGCCCACTGGGCACCCACAAAATGGTAGCTATTACTATTAAAAATCTCTGTAAATCTTGTATTTCCAATCATATTACCTTCAACACTACAGGCACTGGATAAATATTTCTTAAAATTGATTAACTGATATGTACCATGTTATAGGACCTTTCCCTTGAAGCAGAAAGACTATGAGGCTCAAACAAACGCCAGTCACGGTCATCTACTCTTTTTTCCTTTTAGACTGACATCCCTTCTTGTTATAAAACACTAGGATTATTTTCTTCTTCTGTTCTTCTGAACCTCTTCCCCCTTTCTCATTCCTCTTAATCTCTAACTATAAAGCTCTCAATAGATTTTTGAAAAAAATCTATAACTATCTCTTTCTTTTTTGAATTTTTGAATTTTATTTATTTTTTTATACAGCAGGTTCTTATTAGTTATCCATTTTATACATATTAGTGTATGTATGTCAATCCCAATCTCCCAATTCATCACACCTATAACTGTCTCTTAAGTGTACTCTTTTGCTTCCCTTATGATTATTTCTAATCTACCATTAGGTTGTTCCATAAATCTGACGGGTTATGCTATTTTTTCTGAGATTGCTAAAGAGATACTATTTTCTTTCCTTCAGTAGAGGCAAAAATATTTTATTTATACTTCTTCCATCACACATAAATCATTAGTTTCTATAAATAAAGTGGACTCAGTAGTCTTTGCATAATTTAAATATACATTAGATATCAGTGCATGAAGATGTTAGAAAATACATTTTATCTATAAAGAATTTTTCAAAGAATGCCATTAAAATTTACATATAATCGAAGGTTTCCCTGGTGGCGCAGTGGTTGAGAGTCCAAGATCCCACATGCCATGGAGCGGCTGGGCCCATGAGCCATGGCTGCTGAGCCTGCGCGTCCGGAGGCTGTGCTCCGCAACGGGAGAGGTCACAACAGTGAGAGGCCCCCGTACCGCCAAAAAAAAAAAAATTACATATAATCATTATTGATCTGTGGTAGACCTCAGAGAGGAGAAAAACATTCTCCTTGCCTCATTAACAAGAAGCCTGTTTCAAATTTTCAAGAATCAACAGAGCTGAATTATTGATGCTAAGAGTATTGCTAATTTCAAATTGTTTGGGGGCAATAGAATATAATCAATAGTAAGAGAAAAACAACCAAATTCTTTGGGAAACTTCTGCTCTTGCTTTTAACTATTTCTGTAACCAAAGCATGTAGTCAGTGATAATACTTCTCAAAAAACTCAAATGCTAAAAATTTCCTCTAAACAGTCCTACATTTCCTTCTCCTGTATCACACAAGACCTTTTATTCTCCCCTTTAGACCCCTGCATGATTGTCTTATGAGGAAAAAGGCTCTCAAGATTGCTATCTAATCTGTTTCTAAATCTCCTCTCAGCCTGTGCAACTCAGTTATGTGAGCTAGGTGGGAATTCATCCCAATCTTGAAGATCCTGAGAAGACTGCACAACTTCCCGAAAGCACTTTCTTACTGCATAATTTACTACATAGTTTGTATTCTAAAACAGCAGAAACAGAGCTAAAATATTGATTTGTGTTTCTTTGTTTAGCATATACCTTCCAGTCCTTCAGTACAACTGTGCTGTTTTCAAAAATTCAAATTAACTTTAAACAAGAACTCGAAGTGCAGGCTTTAGTTAACTTCCCTCGAATATTATGAAACTTCTGCGAACGGTGAATGCCAAAGTACTGGAAGTACCAAACAGAAACGAAGAACCTCACAGTAAAACAATAGAAGAGAAGTAAAAAAATATGTCTGTAAGAGAACGGTGCCTTGGAACAGAAAAAAAAAATGTGGTGGGTTCTCCCAAGGTGGGTGAGTAAAAGGCGAGAAGCAGAGTAAGCGGCAGTGTCAGGGCAAAGGGCACAAATTTCACAACTGCAGACATGTAAAGAACCCTGGGGGTTTGTCACCCGGTTCCCCGTCCCGTGGTTGAACGAATCCTGGGCCATGATCCCTCCACCTCTATTTTAGAAGGCAGACATCTCTCTCCCAACCCCTCTTCCCTATGCCCCTTTCCAAGAACGCTGTCACCCACCTCCGAGGACCGTACCCAGGAAGATGCATTTCTTTTTGTGACGTTTCAGAAAATTCCACGTAGATCTCAGCATCTTCAGGCCCTGGGGGTGCGGGCTGCCTAAAGGGGAGGAATGGTTCACCAGGAAAACGTTTCTTTGTCGCCTGGCACGGACTACCCGGCTGGACCGCCGTCGTCCCACTCGGTGCTCTCCAAAAACCACGAAGCGACTTTCCGCAGAGACTGTCACCGGCGCGGGAAGGGGGCGTAGACTGTAGCTGAGCAGCTGCGCTTTCTGTTGCTGCCGGCGCGGCGCCGCCGCCGCCGCCGCCGCCGCCGCCGCCGCCGCTCACTAGCCTGGGGCGCCGAGGTCCGTCTAGAATTCGCTCCCGAGTGCCTCACAGTTCGATTCCCCCGGAAACGACAGCCCGCTCCCTCCGCGTTCCGTTGCCAGCGCTCCTCTTCCGCCGCGGCCTCTGGCGCTGAGCGAGGCTGCCCCGGTGCAGTATGGAGGCGAAGATAGGGTCCACGCAGACTACGGCCGGCGCCTGCTCTGTGTTGGCGGAGGAGACCGAAAAGTGGATGGAACAGGCGATGCAAATGGTGAGTGGGCGGGACGTGGAAATATAGGGTGGGAATTTTCTCTGGCTTATCCTGACCGAAGCATTCGAGTAAACGTCCCCGGGGGGTGCTTTCTGGTCTCAGTAATCTCGATGGCGCTCGCATTCTCTGGGTAAACAGCTGGCTTTACTGTCCTGAAATGTTCTTTAGCCCATTCTCACAGTGGTTCTGAGGAAAGGAAGAGACGAAATACAGAAATTATTTCTTTTTCACTTGTTTGAAGTATGCGCCAAACATCCCTATTCGGGGGCTGCTGGCACGGGCGTGCTGCGTCCCCTTGTTTCCTGTGGACATTCGCAGATCCTCGAAATCACATTATTTTGTATTTGTGACCTCTTGACTCTATCTAGTAGAAGGAAGGAAGCTGAGGATGTTTCCGGTAGAGAGCAGGATAAAAACAAGTACCTGAACAGCCAGATTCTCATCCATCCATCCATCCATCTATCCTTTCACTTTCCTCACTCCTTTCAGGACTCCTGATTAGGGAGGGCTCTAATAAGATTTGTGTATAATCCAAGGTTTACCCATACTTACGTGTCCCATCGAACTCTTTAATAGGGATAAAAGTCTATTTGGCATATATGTGTATATATATAAATCATGCACACACACATATATGCATATGTTCATTTAAACTTGTTTCTCATACTCTTTTGAAAGTCACTCACAGTAAAAAAAAAAAAATCTATTTTGTATTACATTCCAGTAAACACACACAGATAAAATTGAAACAAAAGTTTTACAGAACAGTACTTAATCTTCCTATGTACAGTTTTTCTGGTATTTCTCTTTCATTGCATTTTGGAAAAAAAAATGCTGGTCATCACCCCATATTTGATTTCATGACCCACTCTTTAAGCCCACTTCAAAATTGATTTCCCCCATTAAACTTACAGGATGCATAACTTTCTGTCTGATACTTTAATGTTCACATGTGCCTTTAAATAATTAATTTGTAATTTGTAATATGGAGTTGTTTGTCCTGAACTCCTTTTATGTTACTAAATTCTCCAAGTTGGAGACAAGGAGTTTTCATGTGATATCAAAAATCTCACTCTCTTTACCCCAAATCATTTCAATAATATCATATGCCTGGCGGCGCCTTTTTTTTTTTTCTGGCTGCGCTGCGTGGCGTGTGGGATTTTAGTCCCCCACCAGCGATCAAACCCGTGCCCACTGCAGTGGGAGCACAGAGTCTTAACCACTGGATGGCCAGGGAAGTCCCTGGGCAGCATCTTTATAAGTAGTGAGGATGATAATAAATGCACATGAAGGCTAAAATATCTCAAATTAAGCTGCGTTTATATCTTTCTATGGGCGAGAGACCTGGAGGCCAGGGAATCCTGGAATACTGGGAATTCGTGGTCTCTTCCATTTATTATCATTTGCTTCAGGAACTCTCCTCAGAGTATTTATGTGGAGCTTGTGTAGATGAAATTTTGAGAGTTGCTGTCATAGAGGACTCAATAGTGGTTCCATAAACAGCTAAGTGTAATCAGTCATTGAGCTTTTCCACTTTGTGTATCAGAAATGTGTTTTCTTTCCATCCTTTCATATCTTTGTACTGTTCTCTAGTCTTCTGGACTAAACATTTGAGTCTTTTTACTACCTTTTGGTATGACCTTGGGCAAGTCACTTTATCCCCCTAGGGTATCGCTTCCTACTCCATAAAATGGGGTGGTTGAACTCCAAGTAATTTCTAAGCCCTCTCTGGCCTTGACATTTTTGTCTTTTAATTAGATTATAAACACCTAGGGGTGTGATTACCTAGTTTATCGACACAGGGTCAAGGAAGTCCTTAGTTTGCACTTATTTTTTTGGTTTTGGCCAATAGTGTATGTTTCTTCCAGGACTTAAAAAAGGGAAAAAGGGCTTGTCATAAACCTTGGGCTTTGTCCAACCATTCCCTCCCCACTAAAGAAACTTCAAATCTTAAATTATTTCAAAGAATTGTTGAAGTAATTGAAAGTGTATTATGTACTTCTGAGAAGTATTTAAGATTAGATCAGAAGCACAGCTAGTACCAAATCTGGAGGGAGCAAGTTAATCTCTGATTAATGTGTTCTGAGGAACTTGAAAGTGAAATGTCCAGTATACAAGTAATAGGGAGGATACTAGCATCCCCACAGCACTTGTACAGAGTACACATATTTATATGACCAGTTCAAGTAATTAGAATGTTTGTCTCTGATGTTAGCATTTGTTGGGCAAAGGCCTGGAGGAATTGGAATGGAGATGGATTCTTTAAAGTATATGACCAAAGGCAGAAAACATAAAAGGAAAATGAATAGGTTTTAGTTATATAAGTATTGAAAACTTCTCCGTATTAAAAAGATAAGATACAAAGTAACAAAGCAAATGACAAAGAGGGAAAATATTTGCAATGTAAATAAAAGGACAGGTTTGATAACCTTAATATATAAAGAACTTTTACAAACTAATAAGAAAAGATGTACACCCTAATTTTGAAAAAGTCCAAGGATATGAACATGCTATTCTAAAAGAAATACAAATAACTAGCAAGTGAACAAGTGTGCAATTTCACTAGTAATAAATTAAATTCAAGTTAAAAAGAGTTACAATTTTTCACCTGTTAAATAGGCAAAGGTGAAAAAATTATAATGCTTGCTGTTGGTAAGGGTGTGTGTGTGAGGAGCTGGCTAGTTTGTTGCTGAAACTGGGGCATCCTTTCTAGAGGGCAACTTTGCTATGTATATATAAAAAAGTCTTAAAACTAGTTTATCCTTTGATCCAGTAATGCCTTTATGGTATTTTTTTTCCCAAGCGAGAATATTTTAATGTTTTCTTTTTCTGATTATATAAATAATTCATAGTCATAAGAAATTCAAACTATAAAAAGATTTAACAAATTAAGTAATAATTACCTAAAAATCCTACCATCAGAGATAATGTTATAAAAATTTTAGGAGCATCCTTCCACGTATCTCTGTCCATGTGTAAACAGACATATATACTTTCTTCTTACATTAAATCTCTGTGCTAGGTTTTTTCAAATTTATTTTTTGACATATATGTTTAAATAAATGAAATTACGTATTCTCTTTATGATTGTGAATATCTTTTTCTAGACGTAAATATTTCTTATTTTGGTTTGTTTTCCTCTCACCCCTATTCCATAATACTTTTATTGCTATGGAATAGATTACCAAAAGTGGGACAAAGGATGTATGTATTTTAAAACCATCTAGACATTTTAAGATTGCCTTCTAGAATTATGCTGCCCGATGTAGTAGCCACTAGCACATGTGGCTATTTAAGTTTAAATTGATTAAGATGAAATAAAATTAGATATTCAGTTCCTCAGTCACATTAGCTGCATTTCAAGTACTCAGTAGCAACACATGGCCAGTGGCTACCATATTGGACAGTGCAGCTCAAAGGATATTTCCATTACTACAGAAAGTTCTGTTGGATAGCACTGGTCTGAAATGGTCACAATTCCATCCCCAGTGTATGAGAATGTTCTGTCCTACCCCTGTTCCCACTAGCCCTGAAATTATCACTCTTTAATATTTGGCAATGTTATAGGTGAGAAGTATTATAATATCTGTGTTACTCTTTTTTGTTGTTCTTTGATAAATTTATCAAACTTTAAATAAAGTTCTCTACACTTTATTACTGTTTGTAAAATCACTATTTTTCATGACAGTTTTCTTTTGGAGAGCTAAGTGTATAAAAAAGGTTATTGTTTTAATCATCAGAGCATATAATTCCAAGGGTGTAGGCTTAGAATCAAATAAAAGAATAACAGTGTTGCACTTTTACATTCCAGACACAGTGCCGTGGATAGTGTTTCATATAGGCTATAGTGTATAAGCCCCATAGTAGCCCTACCCTATCAGGTGTGTATTGTTACTGTCCTTATCTTCAGAGGGGGACATTGAGGTTTAGAGTTAAGTAAACTTCCCAAAGTTAGGGAGCTGGTAAGGAGAGAGCTGTGATTTGAGCCCAGCCACATGTCTTCACCCCCGCCCTGCCTGTACTGTGCTGTGTTTGGTTGCTCACTGCTCTCCAGTGCGCCCTACTGGACCTCTCTGCCTATTCACTTTCATCCCACTGACTACAGTGTATTGAGCATCCTAATTAGACGCTCGGATTTTTTTTCTCTGTGAATTGCCTAGGCATATCCTCTTTTGCCCAATTTTATTATTAGTTTTATTTTAAAAAATCACATTGTAGGAACCCTTTGTATTTTATAGCTATTTCTAGGAATAATTCATAAGGAAGTGATGGAGATATAAAGTTCTTCACTTGTTTATAATAGTGAGGAATTTGAAAAATAGCCACATGTTCTAGTTAAACAATAGGGGACCAGTTAAATGAATCATAAATATTCATGTAAAGGAGCACCATCTAAGCTTAAAAAAATCATGTGCTGAAAAATTATTACTCAACACAGGGAAATGTTTGTAATGTATTTCTAAATGAAAAAGGCAGACTGTTGAACTGTTTATATAGTATAAATCTATTTGACTTTTTAGAAAACTACGAACATGTATATGCAGGCATAGAAAAAAACCTGAAAACTTTCTGTCACAGAATAATAACAGAGATCATATATTGGAGTGCTGGGATTGAGTGGTTTTTATTTTTTGATGTGTGGATTTTTTTACCCCCAAGTTTTTTGCCTTGAACATACTTACTTCATACTTAGGAAAAAAGAAAGTGTGAGTGAGAGAGAGAGAGAGAGAGAGAGAGAGAGAGAGAGAGAGAGAGAGAGAGAGAGAGAGAGAGAGAGAGAGTGAGAGAGAGTGTGTGTGTGTGTGTGTGTATTATCAGAGGGTCAGAGATAGAGGGAGAAAAGTTGCAAGTTTTCTAGAATAAATCAATTGCATATTAATGTTGATGCATTTTCTGGGCGCCTAGTATTACTATAATATTGTGCTAGGTTTGAGGAAAATTCAAAAAGAAAACAAGCACAGACACATGCGTTGTAACAAATGTGGTGTGATTTAGTGTTT